TATTGACAGCTCTTCAACAATGTTTTTTTTTTTTTTCAAAGAACTGGTAAAGAATATAACTTGACGGGGCGGAATTTAAGAACGTTTGTAATGTTAACGGGGATGAACTAAGGGTGCCCTAATCGAACCTGACTACTGCAATTGATCAGAAAAGTCTACAATTATTGACTAATGCACAAAAAGGACAAATATGGAATCTAAAGAAGATGAATAATTTAGGCCAGAGGGACGTAAATAACGCAGGCACACATTCCCCGAGGTGAGACCCAGAGCCAGCACTGAGCATCAATACTGACATGCCATTAATGTCATTATGCTGACTGTACATGTCACGTGGGGGGTATTGGAGTGGCTCTTTCGCGTGACTCCCTCTTACCATTGTGGCAACGCTGAATTCATTTAGTGTTTTTCGTCACACAGCCATTTCGTGGAATACCTGTAACCGGTTTGGAAAGCATTTCTAATCTGGCAGATTTGCTGGACAACCTGAACAACCAGGTTATTTTGGCCCATAGGCCTATTTAGTCACAACCTAACTGATCCGAAACTACTACAAAAAGTTGTGCGGTTTCCTCTTGAAGGCTTTCACTTTTGTTCCGGCAGTATTTTTTATATCTGCTGATGGAGGGCTAAGAGTCTTGACCCTCTGATGCTAAATGTTCTCACGGTTCTTAAGGCATCCCACCTTTTCATTGGGTGTATTCAACAATGTCTCTTCTACCATGACAACTTCCATGCTTATTTTGGAATATTCCGCTGAAGATGTGTAGCTGTGGCTAGTGTCTGAGTTATAAAGATTTAAGTGTAAAGGGCCGTCTTGCGTTACGGAACTTCTTATTTCACTACGACTATATTTTGTTCTAATTACTGCTGTACCATTCTTTGTGATCTGTTAAGCATTTTTCACCTCTATCCTTCCATAGTTGCACTTGTCAAATGCCGTTGCAAAATCCGTATATACATTATCTGAACTTTAGGTGTATTGCAAGAAAGCCCATCAGAAATTGATCTTCGGTACTGAACAACAGATAGCAAGTGTGGTTCTCCAAGGCTTATTATTTGCGCCACTGTTGTTCCAGATCTAGGTTTTTGATCCACCAAATGCACAAGACCTTGTGTTTCCTCTTTGCAGATGACGTGCAACTATGGAAAATATCTTTGAAGGACACACTGTCTCCACAATATTCTATGTTGGGTGGTCAGTCAATACTCTATGGCCGTGTTTTTTTGACAGGACTGTTACGACACCACTTTGAATGATCATATCTTTTTTCCACGCCTAAAGACTTTTTTGATTGACATATTTTTGTTTAGGATGTGGAATTAACACTGTCAGTAGACTAGATTCAGTTCTCCCTCACTGCACGAACTGTCAGTATTGCGCTGCCGAGTTATAACGCACTATCGACTGTACTTCCGGTTAGGTCAGGTCTTTGTGTGTAAACTAATTCGATAACTTTCACACGGCTGCTCCCAGTCATTCCTCATTGTCTGCTATGTTATTAACGTTGTTAAACTATAATTCCTCGGCCACCTCTTTGATTGCTGACTATCACGAAGTTATTGCATTCTCTGTAAAATTTTAGTCATAGAGAAAATTTACTAGGGTTAGTATTTTTTTTATTTTGTGTCGGTACACACTTCCTCTTTATTCCTCTAGTCTCGCCAAAACTTTGAACAAGAGAACCAGGTACATTCGTCTGCTTCCTCATCTAATCATATTGGCCTACTTGCCGCTTCATTATATATATGAGAGATAGAGAGGTGCACCAGTCTGTTAAACAAGTAGCATGAGCTTTTCTGAAATAGTGTTTAATATTTGTCACTTGTATCTTTGCTATGACGGTTTCTAGCATTTGGCACAGTGGCCAGGATTGTGTTGTGCCAGAGATAATTTTATCCACACTATGGTGCGTTGTAGTGCTTAGATAGCGAGCTGGGAGGAAGAACACTTTAGCCGTTTACCTACTGTGTCTGACGAGGGGGAGTGGGAGCCCCACAGGATGGAGGGTTCTAGGAAAAAATCACAGAAAAAAAAAGTCGCTAAAAACATGTTTCCTTAAAAAAAAATCCACAAAAATCCATTTAAAAAAAGTCAGTTGACTCACCCCAGGTTGGTAATTGGGTATATAATTTTGTTAATGAAAGCAGCGTTAAATGTAATCGATAATGATTACAAATATTTGTATATGTACATATTTTATCGTAAATAACTGACTTATCTGAGAAGAAGTATTAAAATGTCAGAAGAATTTCGAGCGCGCATGAACGCAAATGGGCAGTAAGTTAAATACATGTAATGCACCCTTGGTTTAGAGATTTTTTTTTGTGAGGCGCCAAGCCCGTGATGATCATTCAGCGTTCTAGGCTCGATCCTCAGTCTTAGTGCGAACAGACGTGTTACTGTTTAGGGTAACTGGAAAAATCTCGAATTGAAGAGATTGCATAGAAACATGGTTGAAGCAGACTGGTACGAGAAGACCTTTCTTCCAAGTGTGTTGAAACACCTGGCTGGTTTAACAAGTCTGGCAGTGTAACTTGTGCGTTATTACTCCGTGGCTTCCCAACAAGCAGAAAGTTCCTTGGTGAAAGCTGCAGGCTGGTGGTGGTGCGTGTCGTCACTGCTGCCCGGGAATACTGTCCTTGTCGTATAGCAGTAACTTGCAATGTAAATTGTGGCCAGATCAATAATGATGGAATTATATTATTAATACTAAATCAAATCAGTAGCAAAAACAACCACAACCAGCAAGTTATATAAATCAGTTTCCGTAGAAACGCTAGATAGACAAAATCATTGGGTATTTCCCTTTCAGGGAGAATCCAAGCTCTACTTACAGCGAAACTTGTCATAATAAAGTTTGTTCTGTACCTGTGTTTTCTTCATCACCACAGAAATTTCACTTGCGGCCAGTTTTCTAAAAGTCTAGGGGGGAAATAGTTTTTTTTGGCTTCACAGTAAGTATTGCTAAATTAGTTTAAAACTTCCATTGCCATTTATATTATATACATTTCCAGCCTTTTCAACAATTTATGGAATCTTGTATGAAAAAGATAATTAAAAAAGAGTTCGAGATTGTCTTTCACATATTGGTCAGACGGTTTACAAATCATACAGCAGTGTAAACCAGTGATGTAAAATTTGTACAGAAAAAAAATGTAAGGTGCTATATATCAAACAAACTAGCAAGCAGAATTATTTATAAGTGGATATCTCACAAAGTCAGATGTATTGCTTGCAGCCATCTCGGACATCTCTATTAAAGTGTTAGGTAAAAGGACACAAGTGCAACTCTGTTAAAGATTGCTATGATGATAATACCGGGAAGGGGGGAGTGGGGAAACATCCTTATCAGAAGAAACAGAAAAACAGACCACTAGTTGGAGTCGGTCTGTATATTACTCGCTTAGTTTAGACTAATATGCTTAACACTAAAACCATTGTAGTCTAAGCATTAGACGTGAAAATTTAAAATCGGAATTGTCATGTTTTATATAAACATCGGATACAAATTCTTATCAGTTTAAAGGACAGCTGGTGAAACTAATAGTTCCTCGAACTATATCAACTCTGTACCAAACGTTGTCCTACACGGTAGTATAACTGGTCAGCCTGTGGCCAGAAAATCTAGATGTGGGTGTCCCGTCTACACACCTTTACTTGAAATACCGTTGAGGGATTTAGTTTTCCTGCTCTTGCAGCCCGGCCCTGTGACAGGCTTGTGTAGTGCTTGCCTGGTCAACCAGGCTATTGCCGTTGGGGGCTTGCTGGTCCACATATCCGTCACAGCCTCGTTGATCCGGCACTTGACGGAGGAAATTGTCTAGTTTCCTTTTGAAGACTTCTACATTTGCTCTAGCAATGTTTCTGAGTTTCCATTGGAGACTCGATAGTCACTGAAGACTCGGTGATCACTAGGGACAATATAGTCATTAGTGACTTAATAGCGGCTGATGATTCGCTGGTCACCGATGAAGTATTCCTGATATCTTCTGGCAAGATGTTTAAAAGTATCGGACTGCGTATGTAGATACAGTGTTCATTTATTGTGCCCACGGTGCCCCTGCCTTTCACTTGGTTTCAAATCACAAGGACATGAAAGTTGTGTTGGCATGTCGTGGTCCCACTTAGGGTACGGGCAGATAAGGCAAAAAGTTTGTATTTATATTAATTATTATTATTAGTAGTAGTAGTGGGGAGAGTGGTAGTTGTGGTTCAGATTATTATTTATAGGGGCACATCTCACCCATAATCATCTTTTCACAGGTGTTCCTGCCCCCTTCCCTCTTTCCGTGTGTAGCCGTGGCGTCCCCCCTGACTATGGAACACATCTTAACAGTGTGTTCGCGGCTTAGGCTTTTCCGTCTTCATGATTTTTATAATTACCAAGGTGCCTGTAGGGCTCTCGGGGAACTTTTAGGGAAGTCTTTAATTAAATTTTAATTGAGGCTAGTTGTTTTAGCTTGGTATGATAGTTTTGAGCATTTGTTCATGGCTTTTATTATTTGATAATTTTATCTCTTCTTTTGTTGTGTTTTATGTTTGTTTACTGCTGTGAGCGCTGAGTGACTTACACGGTCAAAGTACTTTGGAAATATAGCTACTACTACCACTAGTAGTAATAATACTAGTACTATTACTCCATGGAGGAAGACTGGGAGGCGTCTAGGTTCGATCCAAGGAAGGTGAGCACAGATTCACTGTTTAGAGTGTACTCTAGCAGGCTTTTGCCTCATTAACATAATGGACCGGCTATGGGTTTTTGTAATGTGAAAGTAGCGGTAACAATTGACCTTACAACTGAGCAGCAGGTTGCACAAGTTTGTTAGACGTGAAAGCTTTTCATAGTAATTAACAATAAAAGATGATCCCACAGAATACCCCCAAATATCGTCTCGTGTTGTTAGGGAAAGTTATGGTGTGTGTAAGCTGTGTGAAGGGTGTATTTAGTGTGAACGATTAAATTATGTTAATTAACATTTTTTTTTACCTGGTGCAGGGTGTGAGTAAACCGTTCAAGACGGTGACCAAGGCCAACATCGGCGATGCACATGCCATGGGCCAGAAGCCCATCACTTTCCTCAGACAGGTAAGTGTTCCTCTCGTGTTGCAGTTGGTGGGCATTGTGATGGTGGTAGCAATAGTGGTGGTCGTTGTATTAGTGAATGGTGGTGGTGGTGATGAGTAGTGTTGGTCGTAATAGTTGGCTTTCTTGCTACTGCTTTTGGAGGTACCCATGCAAAGCACATCTTATCACATTCATGAGAAAGCTAAAACTGAAAGGATCATACAGCATCAGGGGGAAATGGGGAGGCAGTTAAGTTTGACCCAAGGAAAGGGAAGCTTGATCGAATTCCTTGGATCAGGAGCTCTCACTAGCATCAAGGTACCTCCCTCGAAGGGATGTAAAACATAGATAATACACACGTACTGCTCTGCAGCCACTCCCATGTTTCAATAGTGTGTGCACGTGAGGTCACAGGGTGAGCCTCCGGCATAATGCCAGTCTAGTGTATGCCTGTGATGCTGTGTTTACCTCTCGTGAGTCGCAACAAAGAGTTTATTTGAAGCATAATACTGTACATTACTGCTACTAATAATAATATGTATCTATTTAATGTTTATGCAAAAATTCTGAAGCACTGATACATTAAATTTTATTTGTTATATATGTTCATAATCAAAATGTACAGAGGTCGTTTACTGCCCTCATCATTTAAAATACTGGGAACCCCTCAAAGTGCCCCACTGGGAATGTATTCTCTGGAGCGAAGAGAAAAATACTTGATAATATGTATATGAAAAATACTAGAGGGCTTAGTCCCAAATCTACCCACTGCCTTAATGTACTGAAATGAGAGAGATGGGAGAAAATGTAAAATTGACCCAGTGAAAAGTAAGGCGCCATTGGTACAGTAAGGGAAGTCAAAATTCGTGGTCCAAGACTCTTCAACCCGTTAGCATTAAAATGGTATGAAATACCGACAGGTTGTTAGGTAAGACACATATGCAACAGTTAGGTATCTTTATTTCGAAACGTTTCGCCTACACAGTAGGCTTCTTCAGTCGAGTACAGAAAAGTTGATAGAAGCAGAAGATACTTGAAGACGATGTAATCAGTCCATCACCCTTAAAGTTTTGAGGTGGTCAGTCCCTCAGTCTGGAGAAGAGCATTGTTCCATGGTATGAAACAATATTGTTTCATACCATGGAACAATGCTCTTCTCCAGACTGAGGGACTGACCACCTCAAAACTTTAAGGGTGATGGACTGATTACATCGTCTTCAAGTATCTTCTGCTTCTATCAACTTTTCTGTACTTGACTGAAGAAGCCTACTGTGTAGGCGAAACGTTTCGAAATAAAGATACCTAACTGTTGCATATGTGTCTTACCTAACAACCCATAGCAGCTGATATCAGAAATATTGCGGGAACGAGTGTAGCGGTTTGGAAACTGCCACCGTTTTTTACAACTTCGTTATACAATATCTTTGTTACAAATAAATTGAGGATTTGCTTAATTCCCAAATATACTTGTAACCACACCGAAGGGTGGCTACTACTACCACACCCGTCAGTTGCTCCATTGATGTGATAATGTTTACGTTAAAAAAGGGTTATGAATCTGCCCGACCTTGTAATTTCATTCATATATTAAAATCAGCACTTTAATATTTCTAATGCTTGACACATGCATATGAAGGTTATATTCGACTTCCAAATTAATTACTCTTATAAAGGAATAAATAGTGTGCGATGCTATACATAAGTATATGTTGATTCCCGTCTTTGATGATTGCATGCTCACTGGCTTCTCCACTGAGCACGTTAGTCTTTATGAAAATCAGTTGCATTGAATGACATGGAATCGAAAATTATCCAGGAGTCAAGCGCATTATCATAGTAATGCTATCATACAGAAGCCCAGTTATTAATTCTTACATCAAACTCGATATAGTTTTGATTATTCTTATGTGAAGTGGCAACAAGAGCAGATGCAGACTTGTCAGTGGGGTCTTGTTTTGTCAACTAGCGTATATAATTTGTAATATTGGCTTATACTAGTAGTTGGGTAAAACATTTTTTTTTCTTAAACGAATATAACTTCCATAAAGGGGTGAAGTGCTCTCATTGTATGCAATAGCGAAAACAAATTGCAAAATGCCAAGAAAGAATTAATGTGAGGAAAGTGAACGAAATCAACAGGAGCAATTAACCGAGATGAGTGCTTTGTCGGTTTTGCCACCCCCGTACTGTTTGTAGTTGGTCTTGTTACTGTTGTAGTTATTCCTGCTGCTGTTATTGCAATAGTTGTAGTTTTGTAAGAGCCTTTTTCCCATAGGTCTGATGTATGGCTGGAGAGCGACTTGGAATCTTAGTGGGGGATCTGACCGTGACGAGAAGATCACTCAGAATGTGTACACTAACGTCTTGTCACTGAAGCCGGAGCCATCCAATGCAGATGGGTGACAGGGTTAAAACAAGCTAGGCATTAGGAGTGTAACCCACTTAGCAACCCACGTCTCAGATGGTCTTCTCTCGACCCATAGTAAAATTGTCACTTTACCCTCATATTTATTATATCATGCTAGCCTGAACGCAATATTTTTTTTTATATTTGCTGTGGTGCCAAGGGAATGGGGTCAACGTATTTTTCTTGTTTGTGTAAAATTATACAGTGGCATAGTAGAGATTTTTTAACGCTTACTTAATTTATCTCCGATTAACTGCAACACTAAGAGTGGAGAAAACGGGATGCATTCTCGAGACAAGTAGAATGCTAAAAATATAAGGAACACGTTAGTTTAAAGAGTTTTTGTGTTGAGATGGTTTTTATTTAATACCTCTGTGCTGAGTCATTGAGAGATGGTTGCTGAGGGATAGATTGAGATGTTGGCAGATGAAAAACAAACTGAATATAGCCTTGAGTTTCGGCAGACAGCAAATTAGATAGTGATACGACATTGAACTGTGTTGACTAAGTATCTCTCAGACCATTTACTAAAATTTTTAGTCTTTATTAATCTACATGCTCATATGCCAAGATCTATTATAGTCCCAGGATGGTTTCAGACTTTGGCATAAACCAGGGGCGGCTCCAGAAGTTTTATTTAGGAGGGGCTTAGGGTTGGCAATCTGGTTGGAAGAGGGGTTGGAAGAAATGCTTAAAGCAACATAATATTCACCACAAGTGATGCAAACTTTATAAGTGGATGTGTATGTGTAAATGACTTATACTTTATGGTTATAAATGAATATATGTGGATCCATGGGCATTAATGAATATGTGAATATGACTGATTTTTCTCTTTGGGTTTACGTGATATAAAAACAAGAGTGTGACTTATGGGTATACAGTTAGTGAATGTGAGGATGTGAGCTAATCTGTGAGTGTACGTGAGTGTGTGGGTGCACATATTTAATAGTATACATCAAAGTATTGGTTTACATTAATGTATTGGTATATGCTAATATATGGGCATACGTGAGTGACACTCATAAGTAGAAGAAATACCTACCATTTAAAAACTTAAACACTCATGTTCAGTTTTTTCGTCTTTATATTAAGTTTATCCATATAATTTGGCCCAAACCTCTATAAAGTTTAATTTTCTTTTGAAAGCTTTAAACGTTTTTCTCTTGCTTCGTAATATAGGTACATCGAGCTGAAACATTTACTGATAAAAATGAATAAGTCTTAATATGAAACTTGTCCTTATGTGACAAAATCCTGTTTACCCACACCTCTTTTTTTTAATTGCTCTGTTCTATCCCAGCTCTACCTATGCCCATTCTTGCCATCCCTCGTAAGGCCTAAAAAAAAATAACCCTGTCTAGGTCACTATAAGAAAGCACCCATTCTAGTATATCAGCATAAAACGGTATTACATAGCTGCACAGCCATAGCAGACCAACAGTGAAAACGTTGACTCGACAGCATATTCTGCTTGATCACCATTAAAGCATTTACACACCAACGTATTCTAGTAAATCAGCAGTACAAACTTTTCTCACTGCTGCACAACCCACTAGACTAACAGACTTTTATATACCAACATAACCAAGTAACTCAACATTAAACAAAACCTATTTCACAAAGTGTTGTAACTATATTATTATTGAGAGATTTCATTGGTTTTATCATAATATTGGCACATCTTGAGTCAAACTTTTCTGGAGTCTGTGATTGTCTTATTAATGTTACATGTAAGCTGGTGGCTGGTTTTTGGTAGCATCAGAAGGTATCGATGCTTCAACCTTTCACCAGCAAATATAATAAATATTGCAGAAAATTTTTTTCAAGTATTAAAGAGGAAACTACACAAGTTCCTGATCAGCCTCCGTGAGGCTGCGGGTTACGGGTAGTAACAACCTGACTGATCATTTAATTACTAAGCAATGACCCAATGCTGCTAGATTATTATTATAAAGTTAAGCTGTAAACCCATCCATCGATAAATCAAAATAACAAGTGTGTAATTGTTAAAACCAAAAAAAAATGTCGGAGCACTAGTAACATTTAGGTTTTCTTAACTTAAAGGGAAGTTTAGTAGGTTAATTAAACATAGACATACCAAGGAACAGTCTGTATATATACTTAGGTATGTAGCTGCCCGCATTGAAAGAACCAGTTGCTTGACATTTGTAATAATACGTAGTGGTGTGCGAGTTTATATGTGCTTTACATGAATATTTATTCTGTTTAAAAGTGCCATACTGGCAGCCTTTTTTCATCGTTAGTATCTCAGAATTTCCCTTAATAACTATAAATACAAATTAAGTTTCTTGACTTTAGCAAAAACCCAGATCACAAAAAAAAAAAAAAATAGAGGCCAGACCTTTGGAGTCATCGCTGCGACATTTAAAATATCTTTTTTGTTTTTTCTTCAAGTATTAAAACTTTGGAAGTTTGAAAACAAATGTGCGACCTCGTGTGCTTGTTTTATCAGTTTGGATAATTTTTTTTTGTAAAAAAGTGCTAAGCCCATGTAATGGGGTCATTTAACATCTTGAATCAACTCCTCAGTCGAAGATTGAGACACTTATGCAACATATGGGAATCTTTATTTAGGAAACGTTTCGCCATA